TTGTTTGAGGACAGAGACGAACCTCAAACAACCCCCTCCCCCCGGGCAACTCTTCCATGGTCTTAAGTGGGATGGCTTCCGCCCATTTTGCAAACTCCCTTCACAACTATGCAGACTCTCCTATTTCCCGTCAGCCATGATCCCAACACTCCTTCAATTCCAGCAGTGAGAGGTCGCGAAACCAGAGAAGAAGAATAGGCGTGGATGTTTCTAAAACGGCGCTCTATTTCGCGGAAAGTCATGGGACAGTCCAGTTTGAAAGTTACTTTTAACTCAAACTGACCTTCCAAACTTTTGATGTTTTTATACATCAGTTACTATCTCTAGGTCACATGGGTTGGATTACGCAGCTTTGTCCATCCCCCGTTTTACCACCTTTTTGGTGTATATTCCCTCTTCATTAGAGAGACCGTCTATCCAAGGGCCGGAAAACCTGTCGATATTGAGGATGCTACTCTAGATAGTTCTCCCACCATCATCCGTATGTCATTGGTTCAACCTCAGCCTGATTTAGCATTGGTGGGATTCGGAGCGGCCGGTTTAGTATACGAAGTTGGTGACGATGTTGTTTTCAAGACCTGTCAAGTCGAAGATATCCTTTCGAGTGATACCTCTGGTGACGATCGACGCTGAGCGTGCGTGACGGGCCCTTGGGCTTCTTGCTGATGATGGATGAGCCGCACTGTCCTGAGAGCGTTGCAGCAACGGTTTCAACCCAACATTGTAGAAGCTATTGATACCGATCAAACCCGAAGGTTTATATCTCCGCAGGTATTGCCCGTTATCAGAATTCGGAATTCCTGAGCAGCCCGATCACATTCGGTTGGACTGTGATATTCTACGCGTTCTTCTTCATCTTCACGGCCTTGGCATTTTATTTAGATTTGCGGATCGGCAACGAGCTTTTCGATAAGAAGGGCCGGGCGATTCTCTGCGATTTCAGCGCCGCCACGCCGTTTGGACAATCTAATGGGGGACACAACTTCGGCAACCGCCCACTTCTCGTAACTGGCTCTTTACTGACTGTCTCAGATGCCACAGATAGGTTTACAATGGGTTCACTTTTTTTGCACATGGAACATGGAACTAAGGCACAGATATTTGTCGACAGAAATGGCAATTTGGCCCTACCAGAAATAGGGACCGGCCATCAAGGCATTGATACGATCATTCGAAAAGCATGCTTAGGAGAGAGGTCAGCTCCAATTTGCAGATGCTAACACGTCTTAATTCCATTAACACCGATATGAAACACATTCCTCATGATGCTACTCCACCCCGCCGTCAATGGAAATCTTAATCAGCCATAAAATATCCATTTTCATTCTTCTCACAATATCTCTAGGATGTGTTTACAATGGCATTTTGTTCGAAGATTAGTTACAAGAGCTAGCTGATGGTTATGGTTTGAATAAAGACGAGGGAAGTTGTTTCGTTAAGTACCAGATGCCTTTGCAGCCAAAATGAATGTAGTAATGAGTGTCAAAAGAGCTTCTACGATCATAAGTTAAGAGAATGACTAGAATACTAAAATCTCCTTCCAAGATTTTACTTTTCCATCCTCTCCCCCAGATCTTCCTGAAAAATCAGTAACGGTGGTGACGATAGCTCCGATATTAGCGATGTTGGCGATGTTTGGACCACGCGAGCAAACAACGTCAGTTACGGGAGATTCGCCAACTGTTAAACTACAGAAAAATCGACATTATGAGCTAAAAATCGTATTGTCTCAACGCGGGTATATTCACAGAGGCTACGCGTAGGTCGCGTCCGAGGCTTATCTACAGTTGCCACATGGGCTTCGGATATGGGAGCTCCCCAAATGAACCTACCGCCAAGGCTCGGGATAGTTTTGACCACAGGGCCTGGCGGTCCAAAATTCCTGCGTGTGCCTGCTGGTATGTATCCTTACCGATGTGTCCTTACCGCAACACACATCGTGGGCGACTTGACATTAAAAAATCTGAAGTGGTAGAATAAGCTGTTAAAGGATGCTGCTGGTAATACTAAGAGGACATTTTTGCGATCTGATCGATATTGACACATTTAAAACGGAACTTGGAAGAGACATTCCAAAGATGGGAAGTTTTGCAGCCCTTTTTTATAATCATCTCACAAATAAGCAGCTGCCCGAATATTCCTGCACCTCTCTGGCAAGGCAGAGCTTGAAGCAACCTAAGTTGCAACATTGACAGGGTTTTTGAGAGAGTTGCTGTGATCATTCAACAGGCAGCTACCCAAATATTGCGGCACAGCTCCTGCAAGGCAGAGCTCGAGGTGGCATAAGTTGTGACTTTTGACAGGACCTTTGAAAAGAGTCGAGGTGATCATCAAATGGACTTATGGGCATATATGCTGGAACGCTGGAACGCTGGAGCTCTGCTGCCTATATGGTTCATGCGGAGTTTGCCCTTTTTTGCAGGGGATAAAGTGGTGGTTCGCGAGTTTTCGAGTTCGCCCTTGTCCGACCATTTCCATATGATATGTGTGAAAGGGGGTTTTTGAAGAGGCTTGGGCAGAAAGCCACATTGGCTTTATCCTTGTAACTTATTCCACAGTAATAGTTCCTATCAATTTCTCAACTTTGAACGCTTTATCAATTGTGATAAACGCAGTAACTGGCCCTTAGATATACGTATATCCAGCTATAATTCCCCCCTTTTGGGTAGTTAGGGGAGGCTCAGGAATTCGCAATTCAATATCACGTGGATTGTCTGATGGTTATTATTTCACGTTTAACCCAATAGGCATGGTTGCTAAATCTTTATAGATGAAACTCATGAGAGCAAGTGCTCACAGGGTAATCTCTTCGGAGATTCATTCTCAAGATTTGTCCAGTGTTATTACTTTCTAGTGCTAATTGAAATTCTCTTAATTATATAGGTGTATACTTCTCGATGATCTTGGCGCAGCTCTTGTCTGACTAATCAACTTTGGCTCAGGTGCCGTTTAACTGAGTGAGCATCAACATCACGACGCTGCATATACAGCTCTTCCACACTCCTAACTGCTCTCCCTCCTTCCCCTTAATTCTGCTCCTATTTCCCTCTTGCTGCTTACCCAGACCTGCAGCTTTTGGGACCGTTCAAGAAACAGCTTGTCCCTCTACTGATTATCAGTTCTCTCGTTTCTCCATCCATCACCGCCTTGGAAGCAGAAACTCACTCACATCTTTCCATAATCTTGCCACCATGGTATGTTGACTAGCTCCTAATATTATGTCTCCGCGGGTCTACTTTTGTACTGACCTCTGAAATTTATAGGGAAATCAACAGTCAAATCTAGGTGGTGGTTCTGCTGACAGCAAAGATGACAAGGACAAAAAGGTAAACACCCTCACTACAAGTCCATTCATACCCGGTCGGTCACCATTACCTTGAACTAAAGCTAATCCCGGAGCAGAAGGAAAAGCCAAAGTACGAGCCACCTCCACAGCCCACAACCAGAATCGGCCGGAAGAAGCGCAAACAAGCTGGTCCCAACGCCTCCGCAAAGCTCCCAGCCGTCTACCCAACCTCGAGATGCAAACTGAAATACCTCCGCATGCAACGCATCCACGACCACCTGCTGCTCGAGGAGGAATATGTTGAGAACCAAGAGCGCATTCGCAAGACGAAAGCTCAGGCCTCTGCGTCTCCCGCCACCAGCGGTGATCTTGAATCCTTGGATCGAAATGCTGATGAACGCAGCCGCGTGGATGATATGCGAGGTAGCCCCATGGGCGTTGGCAATCTCGAAGAGATGATCGATGACGACCACGCCATCGTCTCCAGCGCGACGGGTCCTGAATACTACGTATCCATCATGTCATTTGTCGATAAGGATCTGTTGGAACCGGGCGCGAGCATCCTCCTTCACCACAAATCCGTCTCAGTCGTAGGCGTGTTAACAGATGATGCAGACCCTCTCGTCTCAGTCATGAAACTCGACAAAGCGCCTACAGAATCATATGCCGATATAGGCGGGCTCGAGTCGCAGATCCAGGAAGTCCGGGAGGCTGTCGAACTACCCCTTCTCCATCCAGAACTCTATGAGGAAATGGGTATCAAACCTCCCAAGGGCGTCATTCTCTACGGTGGGCCCGGGACGGGTAAAACGCTCCTAGCCAAAGCCGTCGCCAATCAAACAAGTGCTACTTTCCTACGAATTGTCGGCAGCGAATTAATCCAGAAGTACTTAGGAGATGGACCCCGATTAGTCCGACAGATCTTCCAGGTTGCCGCGGAACATGCACCATCCATCGTTTTCATTGACGAAATCGACGCCATTGGGACAAAGCGGTACGAGTCTACGTCGGGTGGTGAACGTGAGGTCCAGCGGACTATGTTGGAACTCCTTAACCAGCTCGACGGTTTCGATGACCGCGGTGACGTAAAAGTCATCATGGCCACGAATAAGATTGAGACACTGGACCCAGCGCTGATCCGGCCCGGTCGTATTGATCGGAAGATTCTCTTTGAGAATCCGGATCGTGAGTCTTCTTTCCTTTCCTCTTGCTTCCCTAATCCTTCCACCCCCCATGCCAAGCTCCTCTCATGCCAAGCTCCTCCCCAGATGCCACATATATTATTCCTCCATTTGCTAACCCCCGACTCTCCACACAGAAAATACCAAGAAAAAAATCTTCACCCTGCACACCTCCAAAATGTCCCTGGGCGACGACGTCGATCTGGACGAGTTCATCAATCAAAAGGACGACCTGTCCGGCGCAGACATCAAAGCTATCTGCTCCGAGGCGGGGCTCATGGCATTGCGCGAGCGGCGAATGCGTGTGCAGATGGCTGATTTCCGCGCTGCGAGGGAGCGTGTCATGAAGACGAAGAGCGAGGGTGAGCCGGAGGGGTTGTATCTGTAAGATGGATTCTGTATGCACCTTTGGCATGAATTTGTGTAGCTTTTATATTAGGGTTGGTAGATGGGTGCAAATGAGATATTAAAATCATTTTTTCCCCTCAGTTTATTGTGCTTGGGACCCAACGAAGACTCTCGCTTTTCTTCTTCCCAAGACACATACTGCTTCTACCTAGTCTTAACACAAGCCTTGGGGCGGCCCTTTTAATGTCAGGAGTGATTCTCTATCAAAAGTTTCACATATATATAGCCAACCCAAAGCGGGTAAATTTAGTTCAACAGGGCGTGGAACCACCCTTGCTCACATTATCAGCATTCCGACGTTGAGAGTTTTAGAGAGACAGCCTCAGGACGCCAAGGAATAGTCAAGCGCAAAAGGTAATTGATATCGCTCTCCTCATTCGCCTGAAAGTATGAAGTGACCGTCACATGCAGTCCAACGGATGGTTGTCCCCCGACCTCATACGTGCGTGCGGTATTTGATGGAGAACTCAAAAAGCAGGCGTGCCATTCAGCTGGGAAATATATAACCGCATTTAACTAGAAAGTTAAACCAATAATTAATAATCAAAAAAAAATTAATAACTAATGATTCTGTTTCAAAAGTGCGATGCTCAGCTGATTTGCCCTAGAAATGGAATAACGGTAATTGTTGGGTTCTGTTGTCTGGTAGTTATCGAGCAATTGGTAGAGAATCGCTCATTTGCAAGGACTCCAGGGTGCAGTCCTTGGTCAATGATACATGAGTTTGCTGGTCCAGCTGGCAGCAATCAACCCTCGACTCGATGCATGAAGAACCGGCTCGGAATTGTGCTGTTGATGTGTCTTGGGGGCGCCACTATCAATTTTGGAAACTTCATTGAGATCCCTCCAGCAGCATCTTGTCAGTTGTCTACCCCGAGGAGTTGTGAGAAACTAAATCTGATATATAGACGGCAACATCATTTCAGTTTGTCTTCGTCCTGTCCTTCGAATGACTAGTTAACAACTTATCATGAGCGCAACTATCAGTGCAAACATTAGTTACCCCAAACAAAACCCGTTGTTGACTTTGAAGTTGCGAGATTGATGAATCTTCAATAATTCGAGAAGCAACCTCATCCTGCAAGGCCAGGTACAGTATGTTCCTGTCAACTCCTTGACCTGGCCGGCTCGGCTTTGTTATGCATAAGCACCTTAATCTATCAGTCGGGACTTAGGTTCTGCGGGGAAACGGGGCCCACTAGCTATGCTAAGTGACGGCCATGTCAATGGATCCAATGGCTGAAGTGGAAATCCCGTAACACAACAATGCTGCCACACATTAATGAACCAGCTAGACCCGCTCACCTCCTCGGATAACTAAATCTCGAACCAAGGTCCTTTGGCACAACTTTCCCTCGGGTTCCATTTGAGTTTCCACTTCATCGAAATTCGGCGCAAATTGCAATGGTCGTATCTCTCTGCGTCCCTTTCTTGCTCTGCTGCCATTGGACTGACAATAAGTGGACCTATGAGGTTGCTTGGTCCTGTGATAATGCATGTGGTCGACTTCGTCTAGCCCAGTTTTACGAGATCCGGATCTGGTCTGCCAGTTACTAATGATAATTCTGAATGGCCCAGCCATTGTGGGCGAGAAGTCCTTCCAGAAGCTGACTGCACAGGAAATGCCAATTGTGGCATAATGAAACTCAATACTAAATGTATTGCCGCAGCTGCACCCCGCTTCGGAAGAGCTGTCCGTATATTATATATGTTGAGGGCCAACATGCTTCGCCTTGTTATCTGTCTTTCTCTATTTGGAACAGAGGCAGCTTGGATTTCTCCCGTTGACCTCCACGGTTCCATATAGACTTTTGAATTGTCTGTTCAAATTCTGTGGTTTGGTTGGCCAGCGTTCCCAGTTCTGAATTGAGAAGATTCTCTTTGCCCTCATCCACCTCTCGTGATATCTTTTAGAAAAATATAGCGATACCCTTTTCCTCACATTTTCTCAGACATGGAGTATTTCAAACCGGAACAATACATAGAGTTGCCGACCAAAGATCTCCTTTCTTGGATTTTTGATTCGCCTCCCTACGATCAAGATAGACCGGTGAGCTGAACGACCCTTTACCATTGACCGCTGCTTTAAATTGGTTTTACCTGCATCGTCGATGATCGAGACCCTTTCCATGGCCGCCTTAACAATACAAGAGCTGAATAGTTAACGCAGATCGTTATTCAATACAGATTTATATCGATGCTAAAGACCCCTCAAAATCGATATCATGCAACCAAGCTAGAAAGATTATCCGCCAGCTCATTGCTGGGCTGAGGGCCGCCGGGTTCAAAAAAGGCGACTGTTTGAGTATTCATTCTTTCAATGATGTGCGTGGTCATCCTTCCAACGTCTTGAAATTGCGCTCTTGTCCAATTGCAGAGAAAAGCAGCATTTAAGAAGAAAGTGAATCGATCTTAGTAGCAACCATGTATCTAAATTATTGCCAACCTTCACTTTAGATCCATTACTCTATGATTTTTCTCGCCGTCATCGGCGCGGGTGGGGTTTTCGCGGGCACTAATCCTGGATACACTCAATTCGAGCTCTCACATACCATCAAGACCGCAAAAGTGACCTTCTTGATCTCAGAGCCAGAAATCCTGGACAACCTCGTTGCAGCTGCGGAGAGCAACAATATCCCAACCTCGAACATCTGGATATTCAATACACAAGGCCAGCCCGTGCCTGCTGGACATAAATCCTGGACAGAGCTTTTTAAGCATGGCGAAGAGGATTGGATCCGTTTTGACGATCCCGAAATCTGCAAGACCACAACAGCAGCCCGGCTTTTCAGCAGCGGCACAACCGGTCTCCCAAAGGCGGCAGTCATTAGCCATCTGAATTTAATCGGGCAACATATTTTTGTGCATGATACGAAACCTCCCCCCCATCAGGTATGTGTGCCTACCTATTTCTCACCAATGAAGCATAAGAGCCTCGATATGGAACAACATCGTAAATGATTCCACAAATACAGTATGTATTTAACTTCCGTATAGATTTCACGTGTCGTGGCCATTCCGTGCTTCCATGCCGCAGCCGTGCCAGCAACGCACGTCAGCGCCCTAAAGGCCGGCATTACGCTGTACATCATACGCCGCTTCGAGCTTTTGCCATTCCTGGAAGTAATCGATAAATACAGCATTACCGATGTTTCAACGGTTCCCCCTATGGCTGTTGGTATCGTTAAGTCGCCCTTTGCCAAGAAGGATTACTTGAAAAAGGCAAAGAGTGGTGCTTGCGGTGCTGCCCCGTTGGACAAAGATGTCCAGAGTGCGTTTCGGTCCATGTTGAGTCCTGGCGCACCTTATACACAAGTCTGGGGTATGACTGAGACGACATGTATTGCTACCATGTTTTACTACCCGGAACATGACGATACTGGATCCGTAGGACGGCAAATCCCATCTCTTGAGATAAAGTGAGCCTCTGAATATCCACACCCTCTCAAAGTTCCCTTCCCTCCTTTTTCCTAGCTAATACCACGCCTCAGATTAATCGACAATGGCGGCAAAAACATATCCGCCTACGGCGTACGCGGCGAAATCTGCGTTCGTGGACCAACAGTCATTACTGGCTATTTCGAAAATCCAGCCGCAAATGCCGAATCCTTCGATGGCGATTGGTTCAAGACGGGAGACATTGGCTATTGCGAAGAGAAAACGAAGAAATGGTACATCGTTGACCGCAAGAAGGAACTGATCAAAGTCCGTGGGTTCCAGGTTGCTCCGCCGGAAATCGAAGCCGTGCTGCTCTCACATCCACTTATTATGGATGCGGCTGTCATTGGTGTGACGTTTAAGGAGCCGGGGGAGGAGAAGATCGAGCACCCACGCGCTTATGTAGTGCGTCAGCCTGTCCCCGCTAGTCAAAATTTGACGGAGAGGGAGCTGCAGGAATTTGCGGGGGCGAAGTTGGCTAAGTATAAATATTTATCTGGTGGGGTGAAATTTGTGGAGTCCATTCCGAAAAATCCTAGTGGCAAGATTTTGAAGAGACAGTTGAGAGAAAATGCGAAGAAAGAAATTGAGCTGGGGTTGCTTGCGAAGCTGTGATTTGGGGATGAGGGTGATACTCCAGGTGTGTGTGATATATTCATATATGCTTCTTGCAAAGTTTTGTCGAGTCAACCGTAACTATCCTTCAGTTCGTCCTACCTTTTCAGATTGAAGTATGTTCAAAAGAGTGATAGAACACATGATTTAAAAGAATACGACTCTGCTATCCTCGCAGTACTTGACAAAGAGCTGCCAGCTTGTTTTCTCGTCTTTAGATGCACTGGCAGCTAGATTAAAGCCAATTGTTTGATTGATGGAAGTTTCTCCACCTCCAGCTTCTATATTGCTTTTGCGGTACCTTATACTCATCTTGAATTGATGATCGTTTGGAGTTGTAACTAGAATAACATTGGTAATTATCTATTGAATAGTGTTTGATGAATCTCCTACTTGACCAGTTTTCGTGACGGAACTTCAGTGGCGAATAGAACGGCGATGTACCATCTACTGTATTTTTATAAAGCAAAATGATGAGAAGATGTAATAAATGTAGCAATTCATGGAAGATACTTAACATATTGAGAAAAGCGCAAATGAAAACGCCCATAATTTCCTGCTCGTTTTTCCCTATAACCCACAGACTAGCTTCTCAAGTTCCTCTTCCCGTTTTTCCCGTCCGAACACTAGTATTAAGTATAACAAATTTGTACAACAAAGGAAAAACAAGATGGGAGAGGTGATACGGAGGTTGCATGCTCGCACAACAGTCGATAGCGGATCTCTACACGTATATATGTTTCCAAGAAATAGCATGAAGCTCCAGAAGCTCTTCACAGGCGCAGACCACTACTCGACGAGCGGTGCAGATAGTGTTTGAAAAGATGCAGCCCGTTTTATATCAGCTTGCTTGCCTCCACTCCACTTCATTAAATATGGAATTGCATCGTAAGAGCTGACTATGCACCGTCACCCCAAATTCCAACCACACCCATAGAGAATCCCAACCCAAGAACCCACGTTCTCAATCTCAGGAACTTGCGCTCCTTCTCCATCTCGTTTTGAACAGTCTCACCATTGATATCAGAATCCTCGTCAGTGGGTGGGGTTGCTGTATTGGGTGCGGTAGCAGCGGTAGCGGATGAAGCGTCTTCTTCACCCACAATTTCAATCTCACTTCCATTCCCATTGGAGTCATCCTCCTCACCTCTCACCAAAACGGAGCGTCCGGCACGGGCACGAGCATGACCCCAGGAGATAACGCCAAAACCAGATCTCGAGCAGGAGCCGAATCCAAGAGAGCCAGCTGACAGGCAGCCCCATGATACTGTTTTGCCATTATGCCACCATTCCAGGCCTGCACCGCCAATTATCGACATAAGAGCCGTCCAGATCAGGTACGGGTGCCTTCTGTGCGGAGACGACAGGGTGAAGGCAGTAAGGAGGGCAAGAGCAGCGATGTGGCTGAGCCTCAAAACATGTTTTCGGGTGTGAAATTGGACTTCTTTGAGTGTTAGGGAGGCCGCCCCAGCGTTAGGAAAGGATTGAAGGGATGGAATGGCGATAGCAGAAGTGGCGTACGAAATGCCCTGTGTTAGACGGTTCGTAAAAGTTAGTCTCGTATCCTGGGTTTCCCTGATGTGTTTTCTCCCGCGCACTCTCCTCGCCTAACGTATGTTTGCTTCTTCAGGTGGGGAGGGATGACTCACTGTTAAAAGGCCAAGGGAGATGGTCCCCACGAATTTTGAAATGGTAATGGGACAAGCCATGACGGGAGATTGATGTCTATTGATGCATACAATAATCACCTGATAATGGAGAGAAGGAGAGGTAGGCGCCGGGGGTGTTCTAGGATAGCGGATTCACCCGTCACGTTCGCCACGCAAAGGGGATAGAGATTGCTGAGCAGTCCGCAATGGCAAGTATAGATATTCCGCCAATCAAGGAAGTTTTGTCCACCAAGCTTTTGAACTGCAGCTGGGAGTACTCTGGGCAGCAGAACAATGTAGAATTAAAGGAACCGTCTGCTGTCAGGTTGAAGATATGATGTCAATTTGCTGGTTGGACACGGCTTACTCATCATTGGCTTGGCCAATCAGAAGCGTTTCATTTTTATATACCAAACAATAAACGTCAAAGGAATAAAATATATCCCAATACTATGTACCATTGAGATATGGAAGCATATTTATGGATATGAATCTGTATTTATTTTTTTAACATTTTTTTGGCCTCTGGTGAATATTGCACAAGTCAAAGCAGCTCAGAATAGTTAACTAACTAGCAGGGGCTCTACGTCCTGTATTACCACATTTACTACAGCGTGCTGGTGCTCATTTTTTAGCAGACTGATTTGAATCCTCCACTACTCCCTCCACAGCTTGTTGAGCAGCTTGAGCCCTAGCTAATCCTTTCTCTGCTGTTGGAATACCCTCCTGAGCTACATAGGCATGTCCCTGTTCTCATTTGCATTTTTGCTTCTCATTTGCAGCCTGTAGGCCTTGTTTTCCTGTGTCAGAATAGCGGCACTATGCATGGCTAGCTGGCACCCTCGAACCAGTTGACTTAGGGCTTGATTGGTTGGACTAG